TATATTTTTTTTAATTTAGTAATTTAATATCTCCTTCACAAATGATAAATTGGCTTTTGGGTTTGGGCAAAGTTCCAAATTATGACAAACTCCATTTAAGCAAGGTATGGTATAAAGATATTTTCATTTTGAAATTACTTTTGTAAAATCTTAGGGTTTTTAATTAATTTTGAATTGTTATTTCTTGAAAATAATTTTTGAATTTTTCAAAAATTTTCCAATAAGTTTTTATGTTTTTATTATATTCAATCAATTATATATATTTTTTCGTCAAATATATTCTTATAATTAATGATTAACTAATTATCATTAATTAAAATATCAATAGTTAGATTATACTCATGTGCATTGACATAAATAGTAAAAATATTATATGAACATATTATCATACCATACAAACATATCATATTATCATTCATTATTACATATCAATATACAGAGTGGCACAAAATGACAAATATTATATTAACAAATAATAATTAATTAACCATTATCAATATCACTAAGACATTTTCATGGTCGATACTTTAAAAAAAAAGAAAAAAAAACTCTATATTTTTCATTTGTATCATGTTTATATAAGTTTTATCTTATACTATTGCTTCAGGTTCTTAAAATCTAAGATTTGTCAAATTTCAAACTTTAAATTTAGTTAAAAATACGTAAATTTTTCCTTTTTCAGTCTATTTACCAACCAATTACATGAAGGAAATGGGATAGCAATATAACCAATTAAAAAGCCAACTTAAAAACAAAGTAAAAACACCACAACAAGATTGTCTACCAAATCCAAAATAGATAAAATTTAGGTTTATGGCAATTTTTAGCCATCCTGGTCACCAAGTTGGTATGGGAGACATTAATACATTATTTGTCTAGGAAAATGTTTTTATTTTTCTAAATTAAAAAAAAAACATTACTCAAAAAAAATAAATTCAAAAGCATTTTTTTCCTCAATTTTATGCTTTACAAATAAGGCAAATTTTACATGACTTTTTGGCTTGCTCCTTCACATCCTCCCAAGATTGAGTGGCCTGCAATATTGGCTTTTGAAGATCCTGCCACCTTTATTTATACCCTTGCTTTGAGTTCTTGAAATCTATAAATAAATTGAAATGTTGTAAATTATCAAAACAATTATAATTTAAAAATTATATATTTTGAAAAAAAATTTCAATCTTTGCATAGTTATGAGTTAATACTTTGTACTTAAGTAATAGTGTATAGGAACTAAGCATATTAAAATGATGATAGTCTAATATATGTAAAATTAGGAGCATCTTTAGACACGTGAATATAATAAGGATCTCTCTATCTATTATTAATTGGTAGATTTGACAATTCGTGTCTTTGTATCTTAATTATGTCATGTAAACATATGAAATTAACAATTGTACCAGTAAATATGAATACGATACAATTAATTAATCGTGTTAGGATTATAAACACATATATATATATATATATGTTTAATAAATGTGTAATATGATACAATACGACTAATATGTTTATTAAAATGTTGAATTAAATTTTATACGACACAACACAATCAATTTGATTAAAACTTATACAATTTATAACATGATTTCATAATTGATATGATTAACAGAATTAAAATGATTAAATTGAAATATGTGCAAGTAAAATAGGATTATATTATTTGAATTTATCACAACAAATTATCAATATCATAATATTTACCAAATATAATAAAATTCAATATAAATAAATTTTAATCATCATAAAAATATTAATACTTATATAGATCAATAAATGAGTTTTAATCGTTTACTAAATAATACTAAATATGCACATGAGCATTTAGCTCATTGGTTGATGCGTGAACCCTTTGCTTAAAGAATAGGGTTCATATCCTCATATCCTCAATTATTAAAAAAAAAAATCATATACTAATTATATCTACACGATACATGAACATAATTAAATAAATGGGTAATAAATGAGTTAAGCAGATTTGACACGATTAAGATACGATTTATTTGTATCTTAACAGTGTCATCATAATTAATATACGAAACACGATTAACCTAAATTCAAATCCACTTAAATCTATGTTGTGTTCATGTCGTATACAAGATTGTCAAATGTACTAATTAGTTCTATATTAGTTATCCGTTTTAAAAATTAAACATTGTATTAAAGCAAGTAATACCTCATTGTTGGTCCTTTTATGAATTTTCCATTTATTGATTTATGTCACCTAATTGCGTTGTAACATCTACACGTGAAAAAAATAAAAATTTCACGTTTGTTACAATGAATGTATCTAAGCATATAAATATAATAAAGTGTTTTTATTTTTTATCAATTAATTTTGTACTAAACATGCATATAAAATTCAATAATACATTAAATATAACATTATTTTCTTTTAAAATATATAAATTCTTTCTTTTTTTTTAACATTAATAGACCAAGATTTTACTTAGTAGTTACTACTATTATTATTAAAAAAAACATGTGTAACATTATAAGAAACAAACTTAAATTACGAAGAGAAAACATCTTATCATGATTGTCTACCAAATATATTTAAAAAAAAAAAGGGTGTGAAACTCTGTATCTTTTTGTACTAAGATTCTGATAATCTAATTTCCCCTTATGGGTCCCCTTGGCTTTACAAATCTTCCAAGGAACTTGGCGGTAATCCTCAACATGGACCTCAAGATTCAATGCTGGTCCCACACGTTAATCAATCATCAGAATCCAAATGAATCAGGACCACCGATTGTCAATAAGATGAGTCAGGCCACATCTCAAGTTCATTTTCCACCGCTGATGTATGCCTAATCATCCAATATTCGGTCCATACTTGTCTTAAACCGACAGAAGGGTGACATAATCTGCCGTCCTAGTACGCCTCAAAACCTTCCATGTGTCTTCCCGGGTCTCTCTTTTCTTCCCCTTTCGTGGACGTCAAAGTAGCCTGAGAAAACAGAAAGACAAAAAACAAAATCCTCTGGTGTCATGTCTTAAGCAGAAAAAGAGGGACACGTGAAATGTCCCTTCTAAACCACGTGTCTTGACTTCATTCGCCACCTTTTTCAATTTTTACTCCATAAAAGCGCGTTCCACTGGAGCTTTCACGAACATCAATAAATCCAACCGTCCATCCTCACGTTAGTCCAGTAATCGTAGCCGTCGCCTCCTCTATAACCCCTCCTTCCGCCACGTAGCGTCAGAACCTACGTGTCGAGAAACTAACAGGTTAAGGATATGGATTATCTTGATCTCGTCTCTATAAATGCTTGAGCTAGTCCGCCCTTTTCTCTCCCCGCACCTTCATTGTCTGAAACATTTCCAACTCAAATCTCGAAACCAAAAAAAAAAAAAA